GAGCCCAAATTAATACATATACGTATACGATATGAATACAATCGCGAAATTTGAAAGTGATAATTTTATTTTTTTTTTTGTAGAACAACGCGGTTCGTATAGGTACGCGAGTACTCCAAACGACGGAAATTCTTCAAAAAACTTTCTTTTGTATTCGATTAGGTGGTCAGGGTGTTTTTTTTTTTTATTAAATCGAAATAGGTCTACCCCTACATAATATAATTTATTATAGTGCAGCATTACTTATATGTAGCGTGCGTTGTTAAAAAAGTTTTTTTTCGCATGCAGGAAGTGATCCTGAAACGGGCTGCGGATCTGGCCGAAGCGCTGTACACGATGCCCCGGAACAATCAACTATCGCTATCGCTACCCAGGTCACCGTGTTCGCGGGATAGAGACGGCAACAACATGTCGTCTTCGGGAACCGGGGCCACCGGATTTAACCCGTACTCCGGTCAGCTGGCGGTGACCGTGCACGACCACGGGAATACGGGCCAGTGGAACGACGGTGAGTGCAGATATGCTAAACATAATATTAAATTATTCGCGTTTACTGATATCAACGGAGTATAATCGACCTTTCTTCTATAGAGGGAGAGAAAGGTCCGTTAGTTTACAACATACGGGAGAATATGGGATCTGGACTCCCCCGAAAATTTAAGCTTCTAACCAAAAAATTCAGATTATTGGTACAACTATTGGTGGTTTGTGATAAATTTCATGTTTATCCCCCAAAAAAATTCTGGTTACGTATCTGATAACAGTTAGGTAGGTACAGATAGGTACGTATCTACACGTGGAGATATTTTCGGAGGGGAGTTCGATATTGAATATTAATTATGTGCATCAAGTAAAATCCAATCTTCCGACTATAACTAACTGTATAATCCAACGACAATAGGTTTTTTTGCACGACAATCTTTATCGTAAGAGTGCTTGGCCTTTATCACGCTTATTCATATTCAGCCAAAGCTCGGAAACCTGTAATGGTACACGACCACACAACTGTATATAACAATCAAGGATTGTCACATGACGAGGGGATGAGGAGGACATATCCCCCCTCCCTCACCAAGTCGTTTTTCTTAAATATTTATAATAATATACAGAGGGACTTTTAAAGCATGCTCAGTACTCGCCCGATTTGTATGGTTAAATTATACATAAATTCAGATATTTGGAATTTTCAACTGTAGTGAAAAACAATACTTTGGAGTACTTAGATTTTTCACAACATTTAAAGAGTAAACTTTGACAGAACCGACTTCGGTTTTTCTAATGAGAACCTAAATATTTTTATCCAAATTGTCAATTAGGTGATTTGTCTGAAAATGTTGACGTATTTTAATCGAAATTTGAACAAAACATGTCTGAGTTAATGCACTTTAGAGAATAACAACTGCACAATTTAAATCAAGAAATTATCTATACACATGAAACAGTTCCAATCCCCGTAAAATATTATTATCTTTAGTATCTAAAGCCAGAATAACTCAGAAACGTTCCATTTAAATTTCAAATACAATACGTCAAAGTTTTCAAAAAAATCATTAATTTGCATAGTTTACATCAAAACAGGTAGGATCTTATTTGAAAAACCGATATTTTTATCACTACAGGATACACTGTATGCAAAAATATCGTTTAATTTTACTGTAATTAACGGGGAACGACAGTAGATTATTAGATCGGTTTACGCGGTATCTATTTAATTAGCGGTCGTGGATCCAGGGAAGTGGGCGTAGAAATAATACGATCACTCAAAAATAAACCCTTAGCTCGATTCATTATTGAGCTCGTCATAAATACTTTCCTTATATGCAATTTCAAAATCGGCCACCACCCCTCCCTTCTTGTGGATCCACCCTTGGTAGTAAGACTTTATGTTTTCAAACTTGTGTCGATTCGCGACCGTGCCAATTCAAACAATATTATTACTATATTAAAGCTCGTCTCGTTCGAACAATCGCGAGGTTTTTGAAAATAATACGACGGATCGATCGGACGGTTTTCCATAGACGCGTTCTCTAAAACGGAGGTTTTTAATTTTTTTGAGGCCACGACCCCCCCTCTTCCCCATATAATGTCGCCAATATTTCGAACTACCCAAATTATTATGACGGCGTCGCTAACCTTTCTAGCTATTATTTTATGACGCTAAACAAGTTGTTGGCGACCCCCTCTCTACCTCCAGTTTTAAAATCGCCGCTCTAAAACGCTGTCGTGTTAATGTCCGCAGACGACTACGGACGCGGCCAGAGCAGCAGCGTGTCTCCCCGGGGCGGTGGCTACGGGTCGAGCGCTTCGACGCCGCACTCGACCAACGGCACCAATGGCAGCACGTACATAAACCCGACGCCGGCCAGCGGTGGCGGTGGCGGGGGAGGCGGTGGTGGCGGCGGTGGCGGAAGTGGAGGCGGCGGCGGCGGCAGCGGTAACGGCAACCAGTCCAATTCCGGTCCGAACAACGGAAACGGCGGTCAAAATTCCGGTTACAACGGTTCGCCGATGCCGAACACCACGACCGCCGCGTCGTCCGTTCAGCTGACCAACATGAACTCGCCGACGGCCAGCTCGCACCCGTCGCTCTTCAACACCTCGTCCAGTGAGTACACACGTACGTAAATTACGTAAATCGGTACAAATATGTATTTTTTTTTTTTATTTTAAACCCCACCCCCACCTCCTCACTTCCCCCGGACCGCCGACCCCGGCCCCCCCGAAGTAGGTACAGGTATCGTCGCAGAATCGACCGTTCATCAATCTCAGTGGCGCATTTAGGGTTTTGCCATGTGGAATATATTGAATTTCGAATTGTTTTGTTACATATTATGTATTGTGTAACGCGTGTATCTAAGCTAAAACAAAATAATATCTAGTTTAAATTTAAAACATTTTTTGTAAGTATTTTATGCATCAATCTGTTCTGGCATAAACTTTGAAATATTATAGTAATTATTATAATTAGTTTAGTTGTACAATTTTAAGAATACTAAGAGAAGAAGAACCTTATTTACATTAAAGTGGTCCGCGGGTATGTTTCGTTTTCGATAAGGAAATTCACGTATAGTCCGGATGGTTTTTGGATTTATTAACTTGGAATCGGCACATTTTTGATTCTTTTAACTAACAAGTAAAGAAATTAGAAATAGGTATTCACATAAATAATAACTACTAAAAAAATCATCAAGGGGAAGATATATCTTCCTGATCTCCTCCCATAAATACGCCACTGGATAGTATTGAAATCCGCCGCCGGCGATGTTGAACTATTCGCAAAGGGACGAATTTGCGAGGGAGAAAAAACGGTTTGTTACTCAGATTATTTATTGGGCATTCGCTTGAAGTTCTACCAGTCGTTTTTATTCGGTTTCCTAATACGTAAGGAATAACTAAGTTAGTTCGAAAAAAATGACCTCCACAAAGCGGTATACTCGTATAAAAAGTTATCGGATAAAAACTTTTCTAACATTTTTAATGGCTGACTTGAAAAGTTTTTTAAATCACATATCGTTGTATAATTCGCTCAGTTCTGAATCTACAAAAAAAAAAAAAAAAAAACCTACATGCCAATATCGATCTATTCCTATATTTTCTATGTATATAAATTAACCTTCTTCCAGACACGACGCGTACAGGGTAGTACCCCAGCCCGTCGAAACTTAATAACGGTACATCCCGTCAACGAGCTGACGGAAATTAAACGTTTTTAATACAGAAATTGTTTTAAACTAACACTGCATCAGCTGTTGGTGGAATTTCGAATATAAGATGTTAACGCACAGGCGTATACGTTACGTCGGTCGCCCTGCATAGTGTACAAGTTCCCAGCAGAGTTGGACTGGTCGGCCGGGATGCCGGGAAATTTCCCGGTGGGCCAGCGCCTAATTTAGCCGTGTGGCCGTTGGGCGTTATAGGTGCGTCCTACTCTTTGGAACTTAATTCTTCGACGCGGTTTACAGTTGGATAGCTAGTTAGAGAAGTTGATTAAATTCAAAACGCTTTTTACTAGGAAAATGTATTTTTAATTTACAATAATTGACACAGTTATCTCTAGTTTGGAAACACGATACAATGTTTCTTCAAAACTTATGGCCCGTTTAGCATGTTTACGTCCCTTTTAAATTTTAAGAAGTTTAACAATCATTAATCGGAGGATCTGCTTTTTTTTTATAAAAATATACTTATGTAGCCACTCTAGATCTAAATCCCGACAGCATTTTTAGTCTCAGCCCGCCCCCTGTCCCGAGTCCGCGGTATTTACCGTTTGGCAACGAAGTTGTTCACGTTTTGACTTTTTTTTTTTCTATCATGTTATAGGAATGGGCACGTTGGTAACATCTCCATTCGCTATGAATCCGTTCGCGCTGCCCAACTGCAACGGACAGCCGTACGCCACCAGCCCATTGATCAGCTCGTCGGCGAAATAAACTTCGCCCAACACACACACACATTACAAGGCGCAACATATTTGTATTATTTATTATAATTATTATTATTTATTATAATTATTATTATTTATTATAATTATTATTATTTATTATTATTATACTTAATTGAATGGCCGTCGAGAATACGGTGTTATGCGTTTCCCCGGCGTTGTCGACGCCGTTCCGCATATGAAAACCATAACGTGTATAACCGTTTTTTTTTTTTTTTGAAAATCGGATTCTCGCCGTTCTCAAACGCTATAATATTATTATTGATAGCACGCCGACCGTGACTCAATTATAGGCGTGTCGGCGAAATATTATTCGCGGGTCGGGTCAACGTGTTTTGCTCCGGACTCGACGTGGGCTGCACCCGAATCGGGTCCCGGATCCATGTGGTTTTGACAGATGTAGTACACTAGTTGGGTCCCGGCTTTCGGCGGCAGGTTATATAAACCGATAATATAAACCGGCGGTAGTTTCCGGCCTTTTACGAATCGCGACCCCCCCCCCCCCCCCCTAATTTTTTTTTCCGTGCGAAACCGCCTCTTCGAAAATCGTTTGACAGAACTCTAACAATACCGGTGTACAGTACCGATTCGTACGCGGGTTTCGGCGATCCCTCCCGGCTATCACTCAGCGACTCCTCCGCAGGTCGAAAACCGCGGTTAAAAGAAACGCGATTCGGTCCGTACCGAATGCGGTTTATCGTAGAGCCACGGATATCGCACGGCGACTGTTATGAAGACTGACGGGAGATGGATCAGGAGAGGAGGAGGGGGCACGCTCTCGCGGCGATACAGGAAAAACGCCGGTATTTTCGCCGGCACGCCGGTAATATCGCAATTATAGTCACGATACCGACCAAATTCAATACGGCGCTGTAACATTAAATCGGCATTATAATAATAATCGAAAATAATAACGAAAAATCGATATTTTTTTTTTTTTTTTCCTTGTATATTTCCACATTATAATATGATAATATAACATTATAAATACTATAGACATATATATTTTTGTATAAAGAAAATAATATATATATATATATCTTATCGTAAAAATATTTTACCCTATTGTATCATTATTATATACATATATATATACATATTAATGCATCGTGAGTAATAATATTTTCAAAAAAAGTCACGTCCGTTGTTATCGTCATTATACCATAATAATGGACGCGAAATCTTAAAAAAAAAAAATGTTTTTTTTTTTTTATTTCCCATATACATATATAATATTATTGTTGTTGATCTTGTTCCACGTATTCCAATCAAAACAATGACCGGAACACCGGTACAGACGATCCGCGTAAATTTCAAGCGTTAAGAAAACATGTCGACGGTTGCCTATACTTAACGCCGTATCGCGAAAAACGCATTATTATTGTTATTATTATTATTATTACTATGATTATTATTATTATTATTATTATTGTTGTTACTATGGGGGCGAGCGCACAAGCGATCCGTATTGAAACGAAGCGCCACCCTCCTCCCCCCCACCCATATCACCGGGAATTTAAACGAGCGGTACCGTATTCTAATCTACAGTATTCGATTCGATTTTGGTTTTTTTTTTTCTCAATTACGCCTATTTAAAACGAAAAAAAAAATACATATTTTCCCGTATCGTCTATAACGATAAACATAATTTTTAATGACAAAGCAATTTATCGTCTTTTTCACGCGTTACGTGCATACCGAATCTAAACCCGAGTCCTGGAGTATGTTATTCCGTTGTAGTGACAACGTAGGTATTACAAGTAGAAGGTATCGCGACAAAAAAAAAAAATAAAAAATATTATTAACAACAATAATCAACCTGACTACAGTTAATAACATTATTCGTCAACGAAATTAACAAATTGATTTTAGACCCCGCAGTTAACGTACAGTCAGACTATCGTTCACGCATAATAATGTACATTTATCATTAACTAATATTGGTGTATACCTAATGAAAATTAATATTATGATTTCTTCTTTTTTTCTTTTTTTTTCTTTCTGTGTGAAAAAAAAAATTAACTGTCGCGTTTTAAACATATTAATACTTGCCTAATATCTATTGAAACATTACAGTATATAATAATAGTATAATATAATAATGTGTTAATGACTTCGATACACGGTGCGATCGTACCTACAATATTATGTGTTTATAATAATATTATTAAATATTTTATTTTATCGTCCATAAACGATTGAAACAATTACATATCATACGAGCTTTGTTTGCTCTATATAAAAAAAATTTATGTAAAAAAAAAAAAAATAAATAAATAAATAAAAAAACGAAAAAAAAAATTACTTATGTTACTACTATATTTTAGCGTGCGCGTGTGTGTATATACCTAATTTACTATTAACAATATCATATTTATTATAACAATATCATTATTATTACTATTATTATTATTATTATTATTATTATTATTATTATTATTATTATTATTATTATTAAAATGATTAGTATTTTATCGGCTTTTGTAATATCGTATTAGTTACTGCGTGTTAAACACCGTCACGATAATAATGATAATATTATATTACCCTATTTTATTCGTATAGACCCTGCCACTTTGTTGGTTGTGTAAAACCGTTTTCTCGTATTATTGTACATATCTTATATTCGATATAATATAATTATAATTAATGCCTTATAAAGATAATATTATACATAAGTAATATAACGGCATTATAATAATAATGATACCTACCCATGTGACGCGTTATTATTATTATTATTATTATTATTATTATTATTATTATTATAATACGTTCTATAAAAAATTTTGTTCAATTTCCCGATTATTACCTACCCAATTCGATCGTGTAATATTATAAACATAATTATTATTATTATTATTTTTTTTTTTTTTTTTTGATTTACAAAATATATTAAAATGAGAATAATTTAGAGACCAGAATACGAATGCATTTGGTTTTTATTTCACGCGTGTTTTAGATTACCTACTCCGCTGCTGTTATCGTATAGTTATCGCATAGTTTTTAAAATACGATTTAATTTCAGTGGCGTAACCTGCAGACGCGGTTAGTTGATTATACCTTTCTCCCTCCCCCCCCCCGAAAATAAAAAACAACAAGGTGTCTCCGACAATTAATAACTGTTCTGTTTTTTAAGTGACTATGGGAAGATTGCTGCAAAGTTAAAAGTCACCGGAAACAGTTGTGGGGCTACGCCATTGGTTGTTTATCATCCTTGACTACGTGTTATTATCATACCAACTCCACTGTCCCCGATACTGTTGATGGGATTAAGACGGAAAAAATATATTACTGTCTGATCTTTCGACAAAACAGCCAAACATACTATTGGATTAACTGAGCAAAGTGACATCCGTTACACAATGTATAGGTCACTGTACTAGGCCCGTAGCCATGGGTGAGTAATAGGAAGCATTGCCCCTCCTAGACCCGTTCACTACTCCCACTAGAATTTGTATCGGAAGACGGACATTTTCGAATTAATCGTTATATTGGAAAAAATAATATAATATTAAAGTATCATTATACTGTTTTTTTTTTTTCTAATGCCCCCTTTATAGCTCGATTTCTCCCCCCCCCCCTTGAAGAATTTATTTGACTACGGTCCTAGTCTAGGCCACAGTTGTATAGTCTGTAAGACAAGATTATAGAGTATGTAAAATTTAATTTACATCATATATTTATATTGTAAGCGACGATAAACAAAATGAAAGTAAAATACGACTCTGATCAGAGCTAAGATTTAACTGATTAGGATGTAGATTACTTGTAATTCGATTAAAAATAATCGTAGAGGCCGGTAATTTTTACAAAACATTCGGATGATTTTTGATCGTTTTAATTTTCATTTGGAAAAAATTGGCGAAGCGGACAACAGTAGCACACTACACATCAGGCAACAGTAGTATTAGCTCTTTTTTTATTGTTAAAATCAATAGAATAATACTTAAATAATTTCTCTTATATAATAACGAAATATAGGTCTCGGAAAATAATCGTTATTTACCTATAAACGGCAAATGCCTAATGCTGAAGCTGTGATATTATTCATGGAAACTGCAAATTGTAGTCGAGTTTAATGCCTTTCTAAATTACGTGGGTGAAAGAAGTTGAAAAAAGTTTAAAAAAGTACGTTAGAAATAAATGGAAAGTGATTTCAAATAAAATAGTTATCGGTTTATATGGAATTTTCGAATAAATTAAACAACCAAATGATAATATTATCATATCGCTTATCGTATCATATAATACGATATCTGTTTACTTGAGATATTATATTTGAAAATTATACAAAAGCAGATACTTCTCGGTCACTGTTGTTGGTGAGAAGTTGAGAAGCTAAGATAAGATAAATTTATATTTGTACGCAACTATAAATCATTGCTAACAAAATACGATTCTGTGTAAAGTTCGGTTGAGCATGTTTTAAAATGCCGTAATTTTTATGATTTTCATCAAAACTATAGTTTTTATAGCATTTATAAATGCTTATGTAAAAAAAAATGTTATATATTTTTATTAAATTTTTTTTATTTTTATTTTAGGTCTATTTTTTAGTTTCGGAATGGAGCGAGGGATCTTTTGGTTTTACTATGGTGTGATTTTTTTTCTGTCTATAAATGACAATAGGCCTTTTTTTGTTATATTTCGGATCTAGTTTATGCATTTGAAAGGTATTATTGATTTTCCAAGGGGTTTTCAAAATAATTAGAAAAATCCAAAAAAAGACGTAAAATGAAAACTGACAAAATTACGGCATTATACGATTTTATTTTTTTTTAAATTTTACGCTTAATGTTTTCTACCTGAAATATTGGTCCAGTTGAAAACGGCAAAATACATTTTTTGTTGCATTTTGGATTTCATTACTGAGGATAAGTAAATCATTTATTATTAGACTTAAAGATTTCTAGATCTAAAAAAACACATAAATATGCATACAAAATATGTTTTGAAAAACAACCAAATATGCACTAAAATATGCTCTAAAAAATGTTTTTCGTAGTTTTTTTTTCTCATTATAAACGATATTTACGTAAAAACTTCGTTTTTAGATGAATAATTTCAGAGGTATTAATCAAACTCAATGATTGTTTGTTAACTAAAGTGACTATTTCACGATAATTTATTCAATTATGCTATCGCACATCATTTTTTAGACAAACTATTGCGAGTCCAAATCGAAAATGTTTGAAATTGAATAGGTTCCGATGGTGGTCGGACGGTTGTTAAGTTTGGAGGATTTTTATTAATCGAAAAAGTGTTTATCGAGAAAAAAACACTTCTCGCTCATCTTAGTATGAAAAATACATTTTGATTGAATACTGCATACATTAGTAAGTATATCTAATTATTATTTACGAAAATTTTTTGAACGATATATGTCGAGTAAATCTTTCCGATTCCCGATGCTGTGAACGGCGTTCGTGTTGTTGCCAAGTGATAGCACCCCATGGAATAATGGCGTAGCCAGAATTTTGAAATGAGAGCTGCAGAAATTAATTTCGATAAATCCAATTTGTACGCCGTCGGTGAGGTTTTGAAGAAAATATATAAAGCAATAATGAACAATAGCACTTGACGAAGTAAACGTTATTGCAAATAAACAATGATTAGTTAAACGAAGATTTAATATATCTTTATTTAATATCCGATAATACAATTTAATCCGAAGATAAAATACTAAGAGCTGGATGAATCCGCGGCCCGGATATTTTTACAAGTAGGTGAATTGCATCCCGGAAATTGTTTTTATTTACGTGTATAATTAATTCAAAGAATATGTATTCAAAGCTTGCGTTACAACGGATGCAAGTTTCCCTCCAAATTTCTGGGCTGAATTTGCACCAACGGCGAATAACAGTTGTGAGACATTTCACTTCAAATTAAATAATCCGCTTATCGCTAGTCATTCAAATATTCACAACTTTATTAAAGTTTTAAAAAGTATTCAATCTGAAACATACATAAAAACACGAAGTAATGGACAAAGAAAATCCCGTCAAATTGTCGAAAAAAAATTATATTCGAGAAAAAATGAATAAATATAATAATAAATTATTGACGTCAAAGCCGTTTCATTTAAATTTTTACACGTTTAAAATATAAAATATACTTTTATAATTTTAATTTTTTTTTTACCTAAATAATTGAATAATTGACCAACAAATTGCCTAATATATACAACAAGGACGCAATTCACCCAACGCCGGAACATTCAGCATGAAAATGCGCTCCGGCAGGTTTTTGAAGACAAAAAACGCTTGAGATAATAAACGGAATGTTTTAAGTGGCTGTCCTCGGAACGCAAATTTGCTCTCGCTCACACTAGGGTTTTATATATGACCGCACCTCCCAGTCATCGGCGTTGGGTGAATTGTTTACCATTTTCACGCGTCCCGCGTTTCTGTCCTCAATACGAAAATCCACCCGCCGGTGCGCGTTTCCATGCTGAATGTCACGTCTGGACGTATAAGTCTTTGGCTAGGATAACCATAAACGATCGACCGCTCTGTTAGACCAAACCGACTAAAATACCACTATCGAACAATTCGATAACGATAAAGAACACTAAAATACACGCGGATACGTCGATACGGCCAATGGGGAGTGGGAGGGGGGGTTTGCCATGGCCCACTGCCTCCCATTCGCGGCAACGCCACTGTGCCCCGTGATGGCGTGATGCGTACGACGAAACACGATATTATGTACGTAGGCCAAACCCCCTCCCCCCCCCCGAGAGATTATGCCTACGGCGGCGGCGGTACGCTCGTTTTGCCGAAATGATATCGTCGGCCGGCGCTGCTGTGATAATTTGTTACGCGAAACACGGATACGGCGAAACGTGTAAAAAAATACTAATAAGACACGATTGATTGACGCGGCGACGGAAACGCAATATCGTGTGCAATCCGTGTGTGTAAACAACAACAATAGACGAGTCGCGTGTCCGTCCCGACGGCGACGAAAGCGGAGAGCCGCGTGGGAGACGGTCTGTTCGCCGCCGTCGGCTGTCCGTCATATCTCGTCGTTCTATACTAATAAGCCCTGTTCTTTCGGTGTTATCAATAAATAAAAAAATAATAATAACAATAACAATAACAATATGTAACGGGACTCTTTTCAACGGCCGCGCCACCGCCACCACCGCCGACGACGTAAGGGCACGTGCCACACGCGCACCCGACCGAATAATAATAACATTGTGTTTTTTCGTAACGTTTTCATTGTTTGTGCGCGTGTAATGTTATTGTAATTATTATTATCGCCGTGTATACATCGTCTTTGGGTCGTTTGTATAGCGTACCTATAACATGTTATTATTGTTACTGGCGAGGGTGCGGGAGATTGGTTTTGAAACGCCGGAGTGCTCGAATTGGGGAAATTACAATAGGGGAGCTCTGTTAACAAACGATAATTATTAAATACTACAAGTACTGAATATAATATTGCCTACATGGCTGCATGCATACGATTTACATGATGTACGTGAATTTACGTTCAGTTTTATTTAAACGGATACTCGTACCTACACTTCGAACGTGTAACACGTTGCGGTCGCTTTGAAAACGATGCCCAGTTTCGAAAAAAAAAAAAAAAAAAAGACAGACGTATTTCGCACGGTGAATGGGCCACTGTTGTCGGTGAGAAGTTGGGAAGGCAGGATATAGAACTATAGAAGGGAATTTAATGTATATCTGACATTATACACTGCAGATAATATCTGTACGCAATAGTTAATCTTTACTTAAACGAAAAACGATTCTGGGCGGTGTTCGGTTATCCATATTTAAAAGGCTGTAATATTTACGATTTTCGTCAAAATTTGATATTAAAATTCTTATAAAAAAAAATACATATGTATATAATATATTACATTAAACTCAACTTTTTCTTGTTGACCACTAAGTACAACTTAAAATGAACCTCCTGTTCAGTAAAATACGCAGGATTTTTCAATGGGAGGAAGGGGGCTTTAAAATTGGTAACTAATTAGTTGTTTTATAGTTGATATAAATTGGCTTTAATCTTAGTCTAGTACCTACTAAGATTCACCAAGTAAATAAATTTAAAGTAATTCCGATTTTTGTTTGAAAAGTATAATAAATAAATGAATTAAATATTATATAATTTTAAAAAAACGTTTGTAGATAAGTACCAATTATTCTAGTGTGAATCAACAAATGTATACTAAACTTAAATGTTGTCATTAATAATTTCTTACAAAACTAACATTTGTAAGACTTATCTCTAATGTGAATTAATAAACAAATTATGACACATTAAATTACTTAACTGAGAAATCAATCAAACTCATAAGAGGAATCATACCTCTTCCAAATAATTTCTGACACATGTAGCAACCATAGCTTATATCTCTAGTGTGGGATTAAGTTATGATACTTTAAATTGGGAAAATGCAAATAATTTTATACAAACAACACACTCATATCATTTCTGGTCTGTGTGAATTCTCAAGTGCAATGTTAAAATATTTTGTTGTTTAAATGTTTCTGAAACTAATCACATTTGTAAGGTTTATCTCCAATGTGAATTAACTTATGAATATTTAAACATTTTGAGCTTGCAATTAATTTTATAGAAACATTACACTTAAAAGGTTTTTTTTTTATCAGAGTTCCCATATTAATATAAGGATTCAAGATTGAGTTAGCTGCGAAATGTATTTTTATCCAAATGATTTACTACACACATCCTACTGGACAGGCTAGATTAGGTATACCTAAAGTTGTGTGGTTTATCTTCAGGATCTAGCTTCTTCCTTAAATTTTTCTTTATAGCATGCAAATCTAAAGATGTTTTTAAAGTAAATAATTGATCACAATTATAGGTAGCAAGTAAACTCTTTTTTCCAAATTTTGATGTTTGACAAAAATTTATATCACAGGATCCGATTCAATAGTAATTTCACTTTGATGCACAATGTCATCATTTAAATTCATTTCTTTTTAATTTGAATATTATTTTAGATTTTTTGATGTTTCATGTTATGTATCTGAACAAATATAATAATCATAATAGTTGATTAATAATAATAATAATAATTAATTAAGTACATTAAAAACATTAAAGAGTATGCAAAATATAATATTTTATCGATTAACGGGAAGCAATTCTAGTGAGAAGTTAATCCCTTGAATTGCCTCCCTTACATTTAAAAAAATTAAAATGTTGAAATATGATTTTTTTATTTACAAAATATATTTTATACAAATTTTTTTACTTATCTAGTTAATGGATTATATTCTACAATTCTATCATGTATTAAAATACAATAAGCAGTTACACCTTTTAAATTTATTGATACTTCAAATGATTTAGTAACAGTTTCTTCAGTAAATGTTAGTTTAGAAATAAAAGCCTCCACAAATTTAATTTAAAATTAAATAATAGATACAGACAAAAAAATGAAAAGATATGTAATAAATTAATGGAAGAAATAATCACACTGGAATTATTAGAATATTGTTGATTTAATTAAAACAATAAAAAAAAATTATAGAAAACAGAAATTAAATTTGTTGTATAATCATTTGCAAACTGATTCTTGAAGCATATGATAATTATATACTAATCCTTGTTCAACCAGTGAGGTTCTAATACATTTTTTTGCAGTATTCACAGTATTGTTAACATCAGACAATTGTCCATATCCAACACCGCCAGGGGTTAATAATAAAAAATATGTCCTACAAGTGTATACAAAATTAATTATTTTTCAAATCTCAGAATTACTTAAATTTATGATTGTAATAAGATTTTTGAGCTCAAGTTGTGTACAGACAGAAAAATGAAACAAAGAATCAAAGTAAACTTAAAACATTGGTTTTAAAATACACATTACTTACACCAGGACTGATATCAATTCCAGTTTTAGTACCAATTCTAATTTTTCTGCCATCACTTTTGATTAATATATTTTCACCTTTTAGTCCATTCGCACCTTCTGAAATAAATTATATTTCATTTAAATAAAAATTACTTTTAGTTTTTAAGTACAAATAATATTAATTTTTAAATATAAATGTTATGCACATTTTAAAATTAAAATAACAAAACCCATTATTTTGTACATTTTCCCATTTGTTTTCCAAATTTAAAAACAACCTCACCGATTCATCAATAAGAAAAAAAGTACAAACATATGGTTGCTACAGTTGTTACATTTCAAAATTCTCTAATTTATATGTTAGGTTCTAGGATATTTTTTATGAGACACTATGTATATCTATATCACTACTACCTATCATAAAAACCATTTTATTACTTAACTTATCTATACTTGTGTTAGTAATTATGTTATACATCACTTTAATTAACTTAATTTAAATTTTATTATACCACTCTCTGTATCTCTACTTTATATCAGTATTCATCCAATCCATATGTGGTATAAGCCCAATAAATTAAAGCTTTTAATATGCAATTCTTACATATTGATAAAAATATTGTTTTTAATAATAATATTTAATACAACACTATAAATGGTTATATACAGAGTGGGCCAAAAGTCAGTTCCTGTTTTTTCAAAACATAGCCCACTTTAATTTTGTAAAAATACTCCTGCAAAAAATCAGTTTTCAGCCACTTATACCTTCCTGATCAAGAAGTTGCACATTAAAATAAAGAGAAAACATGATCAATCATTAACATACTAGAAAGAGGAAATATAATGACTTACAGCCAGCAGGTAACACAGTTTATCATAGCGCGGTGAACTTCTAGCAACACATGTTAACTTTTAGCCCCTCCACCACACAACCCATGATTTTCATAGAAGCAACATATAACCTAGATAGTATTGTTAGTTATCGCTTATTGTTATTGTTTTTACTTATAATTTATAATTATTTTTATATCGATAACAGATGAATGCGTATTTATAGTGAAACAAACAAAAACTTCTTATTTTTGTAATTACTATAAAAACATACTACCAAGAAGGCAGAAAGAAATTTGTGCCCACTCTTTTCAGTAAAAATCTATTAATTCTTCGTAATATAAACAAATTGGTTTTGAAGTTCGAACAAATCAAAATAATATAGGAAATAACTTCTGGTCCACCCTGTATATCTAAAACCATAATTTGATACTACACATATTTATTCAGGTATTATTTTTTTCTTATTTCCCTGAATTTCCACAATAAATTTAAAATTTCCTGATATTTCTGGTTATCTAGGTTTTCTAGATGGTATAAAAATATTGAAACAAAAATCCCCTTCCCTGTTTTTTATGATTGGAGCAAGATTTCTGCTAAAAAAGTTGTATATAGATGAAAAGAAATACATTATAGTAAAATTAATACATTTTCATTACTAGATCAGAATCTATAAATAATCTATTTATTTTTTTTTTAAATCATAAATGTTTAAATATTTTACTTAATTTATTTTATATTTATATGAATATAATTTTTCAACTATATTCTGTTATAAAACAATTACTAGTATTTTACACAACTTAGTTTATATATCAATATATTTTCTATTAGTCATGAGTGCGCACCTTTGATTCCATTAGGGGTAAAAGATCATCTTTCTGTCAGTATTGATAAAGTTACTGATGATCTAAATTGCAATTCTCTCACAACACCAATGCCTCCACAAAATTTTCTATTACCACCAGAGTTTTCTCGTAATATAAATGAAGTTAAGAACACAAGATAACGTTTTTCTAATATCTCTGGATCTATTACATGAGTATTTGTCATATGAGTGTGAACTCCACTACAGCCATTCCAGGTTGGTCCCTAATGTAAATAAAGTTGTTGTAATTATATTAATAATTAATAATAACTGCAAGTTCAACATTTCTTTGTATGTGTTCCATATATGCTTCAACAACATTTAATTCATACCAAGTTTATGAGTTCAAACACTAAGTGAATACCTTTAATAAAGTACACAATTGAAGACATTACATAAACTTTTTTTTTAATATATATATTCAAAATACTTTTTAATTGAGGAAGCTGAAACGATAAGTGCATCAGTGACTTTTTTTTACAGAAGTTTTCACCACAAACTAAAAAGAAACCCTTAAACTGAGCTCCTTATTCTAATAGTGATTTAGAATATGGAGGCATTGATCCTGGTATTACACCTCCAATGTCTACATGGTGGCCTTGACTCTCAGCTCAAACTAGTTTTAAATGTCTATTAAAAAAAAAACAGATTACAAATTATTTAATAAAATAATAATATTTTTTATATAAAAAAAAAAGTAGACAACAATAAAACACTAGTGTTATAACTGTCAAATCTGGTAAATGAGTACCACTTGCTATTGGATGATTGCTAAGAATCACATCCCCTTATTTGATCTCATTACTAACTGTTCTAATCTAGTATAATAATTTATATTTGAACTTAAGTTATTTTTGAACAATTAATTAATTAATTAATTGACAGTATTATTACTTGATACTGAACCATTTCTTACATTGCTCTTAAATGTGCAGGGATGTGAGGTGCAGTGGACACCAATCCATCATCTGGTCCAAATAATGCACAAGAAAAATCTAAGCCTTCTTTGATATTAGTTAATATTGAAGTTCTCTGGAGTATTCTGAAATATAGGAAAGAAGTTTATGTTTGATACAATGTTTGTAATATAAATAAATACATAAAGATAATTTTTACCTACCCATTTGTTCAACAATACTCATGAATCTATGAGGAAAAATACTCAATTGTCTTGGTTCAAGTTCAATATCAATTTTACTGGACTGAACACAGTTTACTTCAATTTCTAAAACAATATATTGATACATTGATATTAATGCATTAGTTACCAGCAATATGGGTAATCCAGTATTATAAATAATACCTAGGAACAAACAAAATTCTTACTTTTTCATTAAACATTATTTAAAATACCTAAAACTAACCATGTAGCAATGACTCTCATAAAATGTACAAGGGTTTAAATACTATTTTAAATTCTGGTTTGAGTGAAGAATTTTGACACCATTAAGAAATTTCAGTATTGAAAAATAAGAACCAGCTTACTAAAAAGGTTATTAGTTGTATCATTAATTTTATAAATATTCAGTTTTTTCTAAGGAAACGCTTTTTTAATTAATAAAAATGCTATAAAATTGAGATGTGTATTTTTTATTTTATCTTGAATAAAATCTAATATTTGATAATATTGTCTTTAAGAATCACATTAAGTGCCTAAGTAAAATGTATAATAAAATTAAGTATGTATTTTTTATTTATACCAGAATCAGTAGTATAATTAATAATCTTAAGTTGTATACATAATTAAGAGATGAAACCGTTTTTAAAAATTGTTAGTAAAAGAAAAAAATTCAATAATGGAAAAAAAACAGCAAAACAAAACTAAAATATAATAACAAATGAACAAAAGAATCTAAGTGGGGATTTCAAAAAGAATAAACATTTTATTAGAGATAGTAATGGATCCTTAGTCACTGAAGATGAAAATGTAGTCAAAGAATGAGAGAAATATTTTGAAGAAATACTGAACTGTGAAGAACCAGAATTGTTCATGTTTGACCTAAGAAATATAAACAACCAAGAATGCATGGAGCCAACTCTAGAAGAGATAGAACTACAAATAAAGAATCTGAAAAATAATAAGTCTCCAGGCAAAGATGGTTTCCAAGTTGAATTGCTTAAAAAGGAGAAGATGTGACAAAGGATTTGGCAAGTGATCAAAAAAGTTTGGATAACAAAATTTCCAGAAGACTGGAAAATCTCGTATCTGCCCTACACACAAAAAAAGAGATAAACAAGACCGCAACAATTATAGGGGAATTGCCTTATTGATTGTGGTGTACAAAGTTTCTCAAACTTTATTCTAACTAAAATAAAGGAAATAACAGAGCAGACAACTGGGGATTATCAAGGCGGTTTCAGACTGGTAAAGTCAATGACAAACCAAATATTCATTATTAGGCACCAATATCAAAAGATATGGGAATTTGATAAGGAGATACATACATTTTTCTTTGACTTCAAAAGAGCATAGGGCAGTTTTGATAGGAAGAGTCTTAAAAAGATGTTGAAAGAGTTTAATTTCCCCCAGAAATTGGTCAACTTAGTCTCAATCAGCATCATGGAAACCATGGTTAAAATTAAATTCGGAAGCATGAAGTGATCCAGTTACAGTAAAAACTGGCCTTAGACAGGGTAATTCCATCTCACCTAACCTTTTCTTTGAAAGGTTACACAGAAAGTAGGATTACAAATTAATGAACAAAAACTAAATATATAATTGTAGGAAGATGAAATTGGGAGGATTGCAGATTGAAAGTAGATTAGTAGATAGAGAAACGGTTGTATACCAGTCTAATACTAGTGATATTTTATGGATCGGAAACCTGGACACTAAGGAAATCAGATGAAAATTAATTTTTAATACTAGAAAGAAAAATATTACATAAGATCTTTGGACCAATAAAAGATGACATCACATAAATGTGGAGAAGGAAAAGCAGAGAGCTACAAGAAATGTTTAATGGAAATAATATAGTAGACGAAGAAGGAAAGATTTAAGAAAGAAAGAATGCGCAATGCAAGACATGCAATGATGAGCCAGAACTCTCTATTAAGAATGCTGTTAAAACATAATCAAATAGATAAAAGGCCCTTGGGAAGACCAAAATTAAGATAAGAAGATATAGTTAAGAGGAATATAGAAGAATTAGGAGGCGGAGTAAATTGGAAGAATTTGGCAATGAATTGAAGCTGGAGAATTAGTTGAGACGGTGTCATCCTAGTAGCTGGATAATCCAAAAGAAGAATAAATAACAAAACATGGAAGAAATAACTGAAAACAGTAGTAAAAATTACAATCAAAAACAGCACTAGTATTAAACAATTAGAGAAGACAAATGGAATATGGTTAAAACTTCAATACTAGAAATTAAAGTATACTACAATTCACACAAAAACCAAACAGGGAAACCTGGTCACTGGACAGAAGATAACTACTTGCATATGCAGATGACATCATAATCACAGGAAATACTTGAGCAAAAGTTCAAATAAATCTGAAGAAATTAATGAAGACAAGTCAAAATATGACTCTAAAAGTAAATACAGAGAAGATAAAATACAAGGTAGTAGCAAGAAAATCAAAAGATAGCTCCAACATTAAAGTAAAAAATAATGAATTTAAACAAGTGAAAGAATTTAAGTACCTTGGTGTATTCTCAACAACAAACATATTATGCACGGAAATGTGAGACTGGTATAGCAAATTAATGTTATTTCACAATGGAGAACCTCTTTAAATTAAAAATGTTGTCTATCCTTGTGCCTAATACTTAAATTATAATATAATATTAACCATATTATTGGTAACAAATATAAAGTTTAATTATATGGAGAAAAAAAAGACTAACCAATATCACCAGATTTACTAATTACAGCTGTCATTTGGGTTCCACTAATATTGTATTTAATTTATCCATTATAACTGCTGGACCCCTTGATAATGTTACCTTTATACAACTTACTAAATAAGTAAATATTAGAGTCTTTATAGCCCAAATCTTCAAAATAATTTTTTTTTATCTAAAACACATAATACATTTTTAGAATTTCAATTTGTATATTTAAAATAGTAAAACAACTACAGGTTTGATCAAAGGATTTCTTATATTTTGGAATTCTTCTTTGTCAATAATTAATAGTGTTTTACCTATACCTCGATTATATATACTATACCTATATTATCTACATATATTTTACTCCCGGAAAGTGTGAAAATAAAACATAAATAATTAATATTATGTCTTAAATATGTCAATGTAAATGAATTATAGTTACCGATATCATAATTTAAAGCACAAGACTCTTGGACTTCATGAATTACATCAGCACAGGCCATACCATAAGCAGATAGAATACAAGTGTATTTATTTTTCAACAACTCAACTAATTACTAAAGAAAGTACAATCGCACCTATATCCAAAAAAAAAAAAAAAAATGCTGAATAATTTTCCACAATAATTATAGAAGAATAATAATCTTACACACTTCAATAGTTAGAGCTTTAAATTCTTTTAATGCTAATTCTTTATTTAGAGCGCTTTCAGACGAGACACTTTGTGGCCAGCTACTTGTGTCTGAAAAGAATCACGCGACTAAGATAAAATTACTATAAATATACGCTTACACACGAGGCACAAACACGGAGTGTGTGTCGTGCATCGAATAGGAGTGTGTGGTCCCCGTCAGCTGCTGGACACTGTCTGAGTCTGAGCCACTGATAATGTATTAACTTGAATTAGTACATTCAGACGAGACACGCGTATTCGAATAACCGCAGTTTCAGGAGTAGTTTCAGGAGTGCTTATTTATTTAATAAAATCATTACATTATTATAAGTATGAGTTTCGCCAGTTTTGATACCCACAAATATTGTCGAAATTGAACGTCTCTCTTCATTATGGGATATATCACACTCAGATTATGCAAATAAAATTATCAAACAAGAAAGCTGGAACGATGTTTGCCGAATGTTTAAGGAAGGGTTTGATTCTATGGATTCAAAGGAGAGAGACAACTATTGTAAGTAATATGTCTTCTTTTAAGCAATAGAGCTAGTAGTAGAGCTTCTTCAACTTTCATGGTTGAGTAAAAAATAAATAATAATTGTATTGAATTAGATACTCCTGTACGACAAGGTCTCGTGTGAAAGGCACTTTTTGTGTCTTGTAACGCGATTCTAGTGGCCACAAAGTGTCTTGTCTAAAAGTGCTCTTAATGGCATATCTTCATTTAGGCCAAATATTGATGGAAAATAATCAGGTAACAGTCTACCGAAAATTAGATTAGCAATGGTAACAGTTAGCGGACCACCTTTTCTATAACAAGTTGGTCCTGAATGGGCTCCAGCACTCTCTGGTCCAACTACAAATAAACCAGATCTGAAAAATAATCTGCTTTCACTAAGTAATAATCAGCTACAGTATTATATCTAACTAAATAAACATTTTTTTTTTTTTTTACCAGATAATACAAAAATACAAATTTAAACTTTGTATTTACTTGAAGCGCCTGGATTGTAACACCAGAAATGTTCAATGTTTCAAAAATGTGTTCAAATAATCCATCATAATGACTTACATCAGTCAATGTACCGCCCATGTCAAAACCTATTACAGGCTTATAAAGAATAGTAGCTGTATAACCAACTACACCACCTGCTGGACCAGATAAATAGCTTTTGAATCATTAAAACTGAAAAAAAATTAAAATGCTGTATGTAATATTTACACATGTATCCAACTGAAAATTAAATTAAATGAAAAATTATCTGTACTTGTTCATTGGTATTGATCCACCATCACTTTGTATAAATAATATGTTAACATCTTTAAATTATTTTTAAATCCTGATGCAAATTCTTGAATGTAATACGATAGTAAATTTATATATGTATCCGCAAACAAATATAAAATTTATTCAAATTTTATTTCAAAACATTTTTTTATATGAGTTAAATAAGCATCTGCACAAACTGTAAAAACCACGCAGCACAATTTTCATCATAGGCAAAACTCCATATGACAAAGAAATATGTCCAAAACCCACTTCTTTAGCTATTTATCCAACAGTAAACTCATGTTCAACATAACTAAATATAAATATTATTATTATTTGTCAAAATATAATATATAATAATCAAATGTATATTTTTAAACAGAATTGCATATTATTGTAATTATACTTACGTGTAATAATGCATTAAAGCCACAGCGATACTATTAAATCCTTTGGCTTTTAATAGAACCAGGTCACTTTTTAATGCAGCTTCATCAATTTGTTTTAAAATTTGAATGTCTTCACAGGTAGCACCTTGTACAATTGGTTTATCATTCCAAATGGATGTTTAATAAATAATTTCACAATTATCACATTTTTCACATTTAAAATTGATTATATGGCAGTCTACTTCAAAAACTTCTTCACATACGTCTAGTATCATAATTTTCTGCGCAAATTATTATGTAAACATTAATAAAAATATTATTTAAATTCTTAAAATTCTTACGAAGTCAAATATTTTAGGATGAGCCTTGTTTCCAATATGTAATAAATCTTTAAAACCACGAGTGCTATATATTCGCCTTGATATTGTAAAAGGGCATTTGTTGCCACAGTCAATTTGTTGCTCATTCAAATCCATTCTATGTAACTGCTATCAAGTAGCTCACTCTGTGGCATATTTTTTCCAGTTTCCTAGACAAATATATGCAATAACTTTAGACATTTAAATTTATTTTGTTATTAGTATTATTATTATTTTTACCAGTTCTAATGCCTTCACGTGGCGCATCTAAGTAATTAGTTAGATCAACAGACAAAAGTTTCATTACTCTAACTTCTCCATTTGGACATCTAGCATAAGTGTCTGTAAACGTACCTCCTTGATCTAAAGCGAATTTTAATTTTCTGCTCATGATACTTTAGTAGAAGCACGAATAACTAATAAAAACAAATAAATTTTAAAAATGAATACAATTTATATCTTGAATATTTTTAAAATATTATTTTTATTACACATACTTTAAATATATTTGTTTTATAAATTAGATTCAAATATAGCTTAATAAATATTTTGAACATAGCTAATTATTATATTATATTATTAATAAATATATTAAAGAAAAAAGGACAACAATTTACAAGTATTACAAAGTAACTTGAATTAGAAATTTAAATTGTAGAAACAAAAGCCAATAAAATGGCTAAACAAAAAAAAAATGATACCTATAGGAATAATTTTACTAGATAAATTAATTTGAATATCGGGATAAATGTAATATTTTTTAAAATTACTAATGTGTAATATTATTAATAGTAAATACTTAAGATAAGATTAATTACTACTATAATAAAACAAAAATAGCCTGTTAAAAGTCTAATATTTTCAATTGTACCTAACAAATTGTATTTGAAAAAAAAAAGTGAATATAAGTTAAAAATGTATTTATAACTAACAATAATTGTAATACATTTCTTATTTCGGTTGAGTAAAAAATATTATACCTATTACATATTAATTTGTCAACAAATAATAATGCCTTAAAACCTAAAAATGCATTTAAAATGTCAAAAAATAAAAAAGTTCTAAAAATGCAAACTTTGTTGCATATTTTAATTCTTTGATATATGAAACGAATTTTATGTTTGGGAAGTATTGCTTTAGGACATGAAAATGAAACTTGCATTATAATCTGCACCTTATAAATAATTAATACTATCATAGGTACCTGTAGTTTAATTTTTTAAATACATTTTAAGCATCATTCTATAATCTTTTCAGAACCTTGCTGCTGCTATTTCTAATACCCCTATAACCGGACGTACATATACACTTTGTAGACATCATTGTCATGGTAAAATATTGTTGTATTGATTTTTCGAAAAACACAAAAATTAGTTCACAAAAAACTATAAAAATGAATAACAACTGTGCAATGATCGTTCCGGGCTCCGGGCGTCCGTCAATCGGGTTATCACTTTATCAATACCGTAGATTGTGACATAATCAGTGCAAGTGTATACCATAGAGTAAGACGCTTACTCTATGTAAACCATATACACTACTTTTTCCATAGCTGATAGCCTTTGACGTTATATAATATGTTCACGCCCAGGGGTATAGGCAAAATGGAAACGCGTAAATTCTATGGTTAAATCACCTTAAATCTATAAATCTATAATGTCAACCAACAGCTTAAGTAGGTAGATACTATAATAATGGACTATAGTAGTCTTATTACACCTAAACTGCGATAAGAAGCAATGGAATAATAATATTATTTAAGATTAACTTGACAGGTCTATGAATAAATTAATTCCGATCAAAAGCTCGCGTGCTATCGGAAATTCGAGCCGTGTGTAGGCCACTAATCACTATTTTAGATGAATTTAGTAATTAGTAGCCTCGTGTGTAGGTATCTACCTACTTATTTAGAATGCATATTTTCTTCATTACCTACTTGAAAAAAAAAAAACTGATTATGGGCTGTTGTAGTTTTATTAGACGAGTTAGTCGTGTTAGTCACAGTTGCATTGTAGCGTTTGCATAGCTAAGTACCTACTCATTTTTTTATAATTCAATTTTAATTTTAAAATTATAAAATTATATTAATACCTAGACCCCTCAAAAATATCTGAATGTGGTAATAAGTAGGTACCCAAGTGTTGTCGATCATCCAAATTTAAAACTACCGTTTCCCTAAAAATTGTAATTGATCATTGTGATTTGTAATAATGCAATAGATTATTTAAATCTGGTAAAATTAGAGAAACAAGTAGGTACAACGTATGATGAATTATTTTGATTTGGCTAAAACCTAATTGTATTTACATGTTGCCAAATAGTTTGACAGTTATATATTTAATATAAATAATACATAATACGAATTATAATATCTATAATTTATAATAATAAATGAATAATAAGTTTATTGTAGACAAACTAGAACTTTTGAATTTTTATGAAAAAACTTTATATAAATGTCATGTTTGTGGAAACCATTTTGTAGCTTTTTACTTTGTAAATTGTAACTGAAGCGGTTTAAATTGGTTTGCTACCTATTTCCTAATCATATAATGGAAATAAACATTACTTACATATTTGATATTATACCACCAAAATATTATATATAGGTACACATACCTATGCGCAACTAACCAAATCAAAATCAACCAATTACAGAATTATTGATTTCATATCATCTAAATATAATACTTTAAATTTTCATACTCCTTCTAAAACTAATCAAATGATGAATTATCATCACCGTCTACAAGGGGAGATCTGTCCAATGCCTTTTGCTATATTTCTTAGTCAATTTATCATATTATATAAAATAATATATCATAAAATTATTTATTAGGAAAAATATTTTCAACTGCAGTTAAAATATTTGTACAACCTACATGGTTAATTAATTTTATATTTTTAATATTGATTTTAAACACTTTAAAATGATTACTAAACTTTTTTAATTTAAAAAACAGAAAATTTGCATTTGATATTCTGTGTAGATTTCTTATAATTTGGAAAAATGTGAAAGTTTGCAGAAATAATGGTTTTATTATTTATAATTTTTTGTTTTTTGTTGTATTCAGTTAAAAATATATAAAGATGTTATTACAGATTAATTAATATACTGGTGTCCCATAAACTGGCATACTTTCTCCTATTCTCTATATATTCTTTAGACCAATTGATTATATGCAATGCATTAGTGGCAGAGTATGTGGATAACTAGGCAATATTAACAAGCATTGACTTATCATAGTTTTCACCAGCATTTAAAATCTTTCATTATTGTAAAATTGGTAAAAGTCAATCAAAACAAATCGGTCCACAAGATATTTCCTTTTAACCCAGCCCAATATCCTGATGTAACTCTTTATGGCACCCAAATTCCAAACCAAACAATTAAATATCTCGGATTAACCCTTGACCTTGAAATATATATATATATATATATATATATATATATATATATATATTTATTACCTTGGTCTCCCATTCATAAATTAATTTTATAATGAACATAACAAAATGCCAGACTGGTTTTGAAAAAGAAATGTATCGCTAACAATTATTATATACATTCACTAATATTGGCGATAAACTTTTTAACAGCCAATACTAAACACTTAAAACAACATGGGATATATTATAATTTTCATGTCCACAATCAAAATATTTGATAACCAATAATCTTCTACACAATAAAGACTGTATGAATGATAGGTAATAAGGTATAATATTATAATAAGTAAAAATATCAATTTTATGAAAAAATATTTATTAAATCAAAATATCAATACATATTTATTGCCTTATTGGGCTGGTTAATCAGGTATAAATAGGTATGGTTTTGATGATATCTGAATTATCAGGGTCGGTGATAGATACTGTAAGCAACCCTGAAGTATTTACCACATGCAGTACGCTGGTATCTGATTCAATATTGTTTCCTGAATACTGAAAAACATCAGTCTTTGACAACATTGCATAGTATTCAGTTTCAATTTCCGATACTCTAAAATGGGGGAAAAAAAATTAAATTAATTTAAGAAAAACATACCTAGATCAATAAAATAGCCAATGTAAAAAAAATTCAAACCTATAAAAATCCTGATCTACATAACTTTAGATTATTCCATAGGTAAAGTTCGAGTTGAAATTATGTATTTTATGTTATAAGAAATTGGTGGTTTCCTGTTTCTCAATCTCACCTTAAAGTAAATGTGTTGTTTGCAATGATGACCAGCTTAGATTTCCCTCGTCTTAAAGATTTCAACGACTGCTTTAGGCCAAGTACACATTTTCCAGACTTCATGACAAAAGCCAATTTGGTGTTGATGCTTTTCAAAGCTTTTTTCTAAAACTACGAAAAAATGTTTTATTTTTTACAATTATTAATTGTAAAAACAATTTTCTCCATAAATAAATAGCTATTAACCATAAATGAGATATAAAGTAAATTAAGGCGAAAGAAGCCGGTTTTTAAAATAAATATATTACATGTCTAGTTTAAATATTTCAGATCCAATATACTTAAACTTAAAGAGTTAAGTTAATTAACTAAATGCTAGTACATAGATATGATTGGCTCATTGTAAGCACAATAATGAATTGGTCTAAGATTCCTAGAAATGAGTACTTGTTTGTAACAACCCTGCCAGTGCACCATGATAAATTGATCACCCTACCACAACTAAATAATACCTATCGATATCTATTTATGTAAAAATACATATCCTGACTGACAGAATCACCATCGCCTAGCCCAAAACACTGGACGGATTAGGCTGAAATTTGGCACACGGATAGATATTAGGACGTAGGCATCCGCAAGGGATTTTTAAACATTCAACCCCTGAGGGTTGATTTGGGGATTTTAGGTATATTTGGTACGCATATGTAATTGCCTATTTATTTACTTTTGTTTATTCAAGGGTTACAGAAAAGAAAACTATCATAATTATTATTAATATAGTTCAAAATATTAAAATTTCAAAATAGAACAATATGTATATATACATACATAAGAAAAATTCAGTTCAACGATTCTCATTACCGGGTGATCCAGTTAAGAGTGCACACTCATTATCTCGGAAATTATTAACTTTTTCCCGAATTTGTTTTCTGGAACATTTAAAAAAAAAAGCCGCTCTACAATTTTATATTAATATTATTTTTAGAGTGAAACCACTACCTACATTTGACTTTCGAATGACAACCTAAATTAAAAAGTCCATAAATAGATGTAGTATTAGTTAAAATATATTTTAGTGTTGACATTTTTGATTTCTACTAAAGCCTCTGTTAACCTTGAAGAGATATTCCAATTTTATGCTTTTGGTTGATGGACAGTAGCGGAGTACAATTTGTGACAATACGGCGCGCGTCGTATTAAAATGTACCATTATATTATAATATATGAGTGCAACAAGAGGTATATAGATAACCGTAGGTACATATTTGATAACAATATGTACAACCACGATAACGTGATAATACGGCAAGTATAATTTAATAGTAGGTAAATGGTCACCAATCAGATAACAATGCGTATACTCATGATAACGAGGGCGGCTATGCTGAAATATGCCACCCCCTTCGGCTTTCGGAAAGCAGTGAAAAAATAATAGCTTGCCAAGGGGAGCCATAACAAAGGTATAGTTCCCCTTTGATTAAAACCGCCTATTTCTTCCTGGTCCTGGAACCACAAAAAATGTTAACATACTTATGTTTGGTACATACGTATTATTTATTTACCATCCCGGTGAGAGTTTTTAATTCAGTGGCGCTAAAAACTGTACGTTTATGGTGTAGTAGTACTTGGAATTCAAAACTGTCACCTACAAACACAACCGCTGCTACCAACATTAAATGTTTATACCCATGAAACCCGACCATCAAAATTCCCAATTACCCCGAGAACCCCCTGCCCAACGGGCAAATATGACGCTACGCTCGTAGTGTGGTTTGGGATGCACTGCGCATTCGTCGTTGACGATTTCAAAATACATAAAATATTTGAATATGGGTGCACAATTATTTAGGTATTAATTTAATTTGTCTATCGGCATATCGGCTGGTATAACTACAACTTAGTGTATGCGCTTATAACGGTAATCACAATTGTAATTTGTAAACCTTCGGCGTCCGGTACTCCAGCGACCCGCGGACCGGGTCACACTGTTTTTCGAATAGCCTGCGCGTGCGGCGACAACCCACTGACGCCAAACCAAACAATAGAAACGCGCGCATTTTGTGGTCGACGACTCGATGACTGTACAACGGCCGCATAGCGCGACAATACGGCGTCCGGTATATTTAAAAAATATCGAGGCTGTGCGAATAATCATATGGTCCTTTGTCGATTGCTAAATATTCCTACGACCCTACGTCCCGATCTCCGACTACCTTGAAGCCATCTTCTGACTACGGATCGATTTTTTGACCGCTGCTTCGCACACAGATACTGACTTCGTTCAACGACGGTGAGTGAATCACTTTTACTGTATATTTCCCCTCCCTTACTAGCCGTTTACGAAACGATATAATAATACCGCTTTAATCATCCGCCTATTTGCTGTGTCGTTTTTATAGCTCGTTCTTTTCTACTCTGGCACTTTCCAGTTATTATATTTTTTAGGTATTAAGTACTAGGTACCTGCAGCCGCAACGACGCACACAGAGGAGGGTTATGGTATGAACGTGTTTTTCTTTCGGTTTTTCACATTTGATGAGAAAACTTCTGAAAAAATCGAAAAATAACCTCCATAAAGTACCACTCCAAGAATATTTTCTTTTAGAACCACGGTCTATATCGTATACATCCGAGTAAGATTTTTGGCTAAAACAGTGTTTATGAAAAAAAGTAAAATAATCATCTTTGTAAAACCAATACATTCTTCGCTCTTTTTGGAAAAAATATATTCTAGATAAGTAGAGATGGTGAATGTCCAAGATAGAATATTATTTTTATTTTTAATTCGAAAGCATATTATTGTGTTAATATTATGTCGATTGACAACCATTGTAAATTTAATAATTGTGGTAGGTATTGGTTGCTTCTCAAGTTTTCGTCTCCGTAAATTCAGCCATTAAGTGCCGCGTGTCATCGTGCGCATTGGTTTTGTTGTATCGAGAGGCAGGAGCCGGACGGTGTNAGGATTGAGTAAGGAGAGTGGATATGGTCAGCCTCTAGCTAATTATAGATAATATCGTGCCCACGACGAATGACTGATATTAATTGTCTATAATGGCCGTAACTCGTTTGGGTTTTACGAACAAATGAAAACATTGTATACAGGCGTACTATTTTCATGGTGTTTCGTAGTGCTTGACAAATTTTTGTTCGGGGAGGTGATATTTATTTAGACAAAAATTAGATTTTTCTTTGCATCCTCAAATTTGAGAAAAAAAAATCATCTCATTTAATAAAATAAATTAACGTCCGCCGAAGCCGTACTATCCAATTTTCACCCATTCTTTTTAATTTAATTCTAACACGGGCAAAACCAAAAATGAATAGTTATAATAAAATTGGTATTGGCCATGCCAGAACCATAAAAATTTAAATTTAGGTTGGTGACTTCACGGTGTTCTTTTATAAATATAATTAATTCATTGCCCTCTGTTTTCATTTTTGGTACCTAATTGTTTTATTTATCATAACTTACAGATTTAATACACAATATGGACCAACAGGATGTACAGCACAGACAGACCCTCAATAAAGACGATACCATGGAATCAAAGTTAGAATATGTAGTTGGTGATGTTGTTTGGGCTAAACTGATGGGGTGCCCATTTTGGCCGGCCATTGTCACTTACGATCCAGTATCCAGATTGTTTTTCAAAGGTTCGTGTAACAGAAAATACTTCATATTTTGTTGTTGACGATATGCTAAATATTTTAATAGAATCTAAAATTTGTTTTGCATTTTACATTAGCAAGTCCTATTAGTTGTTTTCCAATATGAAGTTTGACAAATAAGTTATTTAGGGGAACCTATACATACGTTAAAAAATTCTGTTGTTTGTCTTCTTCTCATTTAAGAGGATTTAAAACCCACTTTGTGCTATTATTTTTTTCTGACATCATACAAATTTTTCGAGCCCTTTTCAATTATAATATTTCTCACATGTATATCTTAACTAAAAATTTAAATTGATAAAAAAAAAAAAAAAAAACTAGTGTACAAATTCAGCTAATGTTTTTCCGGATAAGCTTACTGATACAATTCATTCTAAAATTGAAACTTATGAATTTTGATCTCGAATGACTTTTATATCTTACATGATTATTGATGGGGACTTTTGATATTAATGAAGACATTTTACCCATCGTTTAGGAAGTAGTTATAAAGATTTATGCCACAATTCGGCTTAGTACCAATTAATTTTTCCAATTGCAATTATAATTTGATTAGACCTTTGAACTTGCTGAAGAGAATCCATCAAATATAATTTCAGGGAAAATAATTCGTAAAAATGATAAACAAGATACTATGTACTTATTTAACCTTTTTTTTTATTGATTTTCAGGGGAAAACAATACGTTTGCTCTACATGTGCGATTTTGTAACTTTTATGGCCAAAGAAGTTGGGTGACGATTGTTGAAAAATATTGTTCTGAACAAGATCTTGTTTCAAAACACCCGGATTGTATGGTAAGCCTTATTAAAAGTTGTTAACTACTTTACATTTTAATTAATTTTCAAATACTTACTTTTTTCGTCATTCAGTAAATCAACCTGTGATGTATCTTCGTAAGTTTAATTAGGTCTATTTATATTTTTAACATTTTTTATGATTATATGGTATTGTTATATTGATTATTTAAATATAATTGACATATTTTATTAAAACCTACTCTTCATTGTATCTCAAAATATTTAAACATTTATTTAATGAATGTTTGTAGGTTTCTTTAAAGAAAAGTAAGGAAGAAATGATTTCTTGGCATGCCGCTGTGGAAGAAGCTGACCGTTTGATGACCTTCAATAGGTAATATTATTCTGTCCTTTCGTTAGACCATATATTACTATATTTACTTTTCAAAAACTCAAAATGACCAACAAAGGATGGTGCTTCTCTTGTGTGGCTTGTGAATGCTCAAAAAAAATTATTATTGTACAGATAATTTAATACCTAATTTCTTTAATCATTAATAACTTGTTATTGCGGTATTTCCCTAAGATATAAAATCATTTAATTATAATTTATATTATTAATATGCCAACCCTTTTTTTTTTAAATAATGCGTAATTTTTATTTCATAAAATAAGCATTACAAAATTAATTTTATTCAGAAATTAATAATATCTTATTATATAATTAGCCTTAATATTACGTGTAGCATTATCAATTAAGTTTTCTGTAATTCTATTTAAACCGTTAAAATATTTACTGCACTTGTTAATTTTTATTGTGTTTGTTAATTATGCTAAGATCTAAGGTAGGTATTCAAAATTGTTGAAATTATAATCGTTTTGTATTTTAAATTAGTTTTATTATTGTTATACTTGAGATGTTAAAAATTGTTTGAATTTAAAAACAATCATACTGACTTTTTAACTACTATTTGCTTGCTAGATAATTTAATTCTGTTTACATTAAATATGAAGTTAAGTTTCAATAATGTATATTTTGAAGACTAATGTAAGAAATGTGATTGAGAAATAATGGTAGGTACAATGTTATTGAATTTTGTACAATAATAGAAGTCCAGAAGCCACACTGATGAGATTGTAGAGTACATCACTGTTGTATGATTGACATATTTACAAAAGTATTTATGTCTATAGTTTAACCAGTCACCATCTTATCTTTTCTATGATAGTCACTTGACTTAGTTTTATAGCGACTCCATAGGTAAAGCCTTTTTAGTAGTATAAGGTCTATGTGTGATTTGATTGAGAAATAATGGTAGGTACAATGTTTATTGAATTTTGTACAATAATAGAAGTCCAGAAGCCACACTGATGAGATTGTAGAGTACATCACTGATGTATGATCCACATATTCATATCTATAGTTTAACCAGTCACCATCTTATCTCTTCTATGATAGTCACTTGACTTTGTTTTATAGCTACTCCATAGGTAAAGCCTTTTTGGTAGTATAAGGTCTATATTTGTTCCTGAATTCACACTTTTTTAGTTATTCAAAAATAAATTACATTTTTCAGAGAGGAGAGATTGTTACGNCCATCTTATCTTTTCTATGATAGTCACTTGACTTAGTTTTATAGCGACTCCATAGGTAAAGCCTTTTTAGTAGTATAAGGTCTATATTCCTTCCCGAATTCACACATTTTGAGTTATTAAAAAATAAATTACATTTTTCAGAGAGGAAAGACTGTACCATCTTTGTACTTTAAAGGATTCTTCCCCTATTGAAGAACGTGGTATATATGGTCCTGTAAGTTTTATATTAATTACAGTGCCGCATTTATTACAGAATTGTTTTTGTTCATAGGCACTAGGAGAGTCTGAAGTAAGATCTAGTGGGGTTTACTGCCTTGATGTAAATGAATGTTTTAGCCCAAAAGTCCGGAAAGCCACTTATTCCCATGTAGAAGAATTAAGATCGGATCATTTAGATCTTGGTTCAGATGACACACGTCTTTTATTAGCTGAGATCCGCAAAAGTGTAAAGTGAGGAATATAAATTCAAATTAATGTACTACTCTATAATTTTATTACTGAACTAACATTATTCACTTTGCTTATAATAACTCGTATTATTTACACAGTTTGTTACATAATAGTTCCATATTTTGTATTTTTAGTACATTGGAAAGACTATTAAAAGACTAAAATTGATAGTTGCAAACACAGAAAGAAAAAGAAGATGGACTCAAAATATTTTCAAATTATAATAACTAATAAATTGGCACATATTTCTAAGTACAGAATTATATTTTATATTTTGTCTTAATTTTCATTTTTAAACATATAACATTCCTATAATAATAAGTGTGATTACATATAAATTTAAAATTAGGTAACAATAGTTCAATATCATATCCATGCTCCTAAAAACAATATATAATAAATATTGTCTTAACGAGGTTGGATTTTAAAATTAAAGCAAGATATAATAAATGTAACAAATTTAAGAGGATTTGTTTACACTATTTCATTATTAATTACTAATTTTATTATTGTATATACTATGATGCGAATAGTAGATAATAAGGGTAGTATTATATTTTAATAATTATATTCTTTCTGATTTCCTTTTATTATTATAATACTAAAGTTTATTATTGTAACACATAGTTTTTATAATTTTGAAAATAAAATACACATACAAAAAATTATTTTGGATTTTTTTTTTTTATCTTTGGATCCGCTCTTGAGTGTAGCATTTTATATATTATACTTGAATGTAATAAATATTATTTTTATTATGATTTTTCTCATTGTTATTGTTACTTATAATTTTCTAATGATGTATAACAAAACATAATTTAAAAATAAATGATGTGGAATGGAGAGTTCAAACATTGGCTAAAAGAATAAATAAATTATAAACATTCTTTCTATTGATTTTTCTGGTTGCATTTTATATCTAGTTGGTGAGTGTTTGTGGTGGGTTGTTACTGCTGTATTCGGTACAACCTAACGATTACATTGGTGGAACGAGTACATTGATCTTTCCATATTCATTTCATCAGTACAAAGTTACTAACTACAAAATAGTCCCCAATGATTACTGATTACTGATTACTGACAGTAGTGGAATAGTAANGAGTTATCATGATCATAGATGTAATAAGTCGGTCCCACATGATTCGTGTACTCAGCGAATAATCGTAATGCTTTAAGACTACGAGTCTTGTAGGAGGTATTTCATCAAATTTTTATCTATATAATTTATTTAAGTTTAGGCAAGTACCTAAGTTAATAAAACGGTAGTAATTTTTAATTAGGCATTTCAAATGTATATTTATTATTTATATTATAATACTGGAAAAATAGTGAATCTGTTACAGATTTAATTATCTAAAGCTAATTTTTTTTCAAATACAGTAAAATAATGTCGTATAATAGAACTACGAAGTACGAAGCATATTCGTTAATAAATATCCATATCAAGAATGAGTACACATTTAAATATATTATGTATTTTGAACAATACGAATCCGAGTACAAATGTAACTAATTAAAGAATGTACCGATGTAACGAGTATTTTGGAATCGGTACTGTACAGTAACTGTACCGATTAGAACGATTCCACTAAAGGAATNAAGAATATATAAATTATAAACATTCTTTCTATTGATTTTTATCTTACGACTAACAATTTAAACTAGTATTGAGATTTAATTTTAATGGATACCTATTGAAAATTAAAAAAATAATTTAAGGAATGTGTTAACTTAAAAATTGTGGTAATCCTGATCTACTTGAGATTTATTTTCAATGACATTAAGAATTTAATTATTGAAAACAATGTTATAACATATTGAAGAGGGTATTGATGGGGAATGTAGCTTAGAAAATACTAGATCATAGTGTATTAAAAATGTAAGTATTTTATTTTCATGCGGTTTAGAATTTCTGGGATAAACTGGAAACACAATTATAGGAAAAATATCAAATATTTAATTTACCCTTATTTGTATACATTTTATATCTAATTCGTGAGTATGCATGTCAGTTTTTGATTTTCCTTAATTTGAAATGTTTGAGTTTTTCTTTAAAGTCTAATCGGTTNATAAGGTCTATATTTGTTCCTGAATTCACACTTTTTTAGTTATTCAAAAATAAATTACATTTTTCAGAGAGGAGAGATTGTTACGTTTTTGTACTATCTATAAATTGGACTTTTCTAAAGAACTTAATATAAATGGTCCTTCCGATGATCCTGTAAGTTTTTATATAACTACTGTATTCCATTAAGTACATAGTTGTTTTTGTTTATAGGCACCACAAAACACTAATTTAAATTCTAATGGGGTGTTCCATAATGAAGCTGCACCAGTTATTATAAGAAATGAAAATATTCAGAATAATGACACCACTGATGGCAATGAGAGCGATGACTCTGATTACAGTGCTGCTAATGCATTGGAAATTGCAGATCTATTACTTCAAAAATATGGATTTTCACAAAATGATGCGAAACCCGAAAAGGATGAGTTAGATTTCAAGAAATTGGAAGTTAGTCCCCGCAACTATCATTTAACATTGGAGCTCATGGAAAAAATATGGTGAAGAATATAAATTCAAATTAATGTTTCTAGGCTATAATTGTATTACTGAACTAACATTAATCTTTTTACTAATAATAACTCTTATTATTTACATAGTTTGTTATATTATGGTCCTGTATTTTGAATTTTTAGGGCTATGGAAGAAAGAGAATATCGAGAGTTACAAATTCAGAAACAAAAAGATGAACTCAAAAGATGTTTAAGATATTGACACATATTTCTAAGTACAGAACTATATTTGATATTTTGTATTAATTTTCATTTTTAAACTTAATGTATTTATTAAACATATAACATTCCTATAATAATAAGTGTGATTACATATAAATTTAAAATTAGGTAACAAAAGTTCAATATCATTTCCATGCCCCTAAAAACAATATATAATAAATGTAACAAATTTAAGAAGATTCTTTTACACTATTCCATTATTAGTTACTAATTTTTATCATTGTATATACTATGATGCGAATAGTAGATGATAAGGGTAGTATTATATTTTAATAAATAATTTCTTTCTGATTTCCTTTTGTTATTATAACACATAACTTTTATAACTTTGAAAATAAAATACACATACCAAAAAGTTATTTTAGATTTTTTTTTTTTGTCTTTGGATCCGCTCTTGAGTGTAGTGTAGTTTATATATTATACTTGAATGTAAAAAATATTATTTTTATTATGATTTTTCTTATTGTTATTGTTACTTATAATTTTCTAATGATGTATAACAAAACATAATTTAAAAATAAATAATGTGCAATGGAGAGTTCAAATGTTGGCTAAAAGAATATATAAATTATAAACATTCNTTATGTATTTTGAACAATACGAATCCGAGTACAAATGTAACTAATTAAAGAATGTACCGATTGTACCGATGTAACGAGTATTTTGGAATCAGTACTGTACAGTAACTGTACCGATTAGAACGATTCCACTAAAGGAATGACAATTTCCTCCACTTCACTAGAATGGAGAGTTCAAATGTTGGCTAAAAGAATATATAAATTATAAACATTCTTTCAATTGATTTTTATCTTACGACTAACAATTTTAACTAGTATTGAGATTTAATTTTAATGGATACCTATTGAAAATTAAAAAAGTATCCTGGAAAATTTAAGGAATGTGTTAACTTAAAAATTGTGGTAATCATGATCTACTTGAGATTTATTTTCAATGACATTAAGAATTTAATTATTGAAAACAATGTTAATACATATTGAAGAGGGTATTGATGGGGAATGTAGCTTAGAAAAAACTAGATCATAGTGCATTAAAAATGGAAGTATTTTATTTTCATGGGGTTTAGAATTTCTGGGATAAACTGGAAATAAAATTATAGGAAAAATATCAAATATTTAACTTACCTTAATTTGTATACATTTTATATTCTATTAGAAATCTTGTTTTAATCAAAAAATACCAAGATACCTATTTCTGGTTGCATTTTATATCTAGTTAGTGAGTATGCATGTCAGTTTTTGATTTTCCTTAATTTGAAATGTTTGAGTTTTTCTTTAAAGTCTAATTGGTTTTATGAAATTTAAATTGTTTTAGTCTATCAAAAATGGTTGAGTTTAACACAAAGTTTATATAGGTGTAATTTGTGATAAAAAAAGTAAGTTGATCATAGTGTAGTAATTTTTGTTTATAATCATTTAAAGATTTNACTTTCAGACAAACAAACAAATTATTGTACAAAAACCATTATTAGATTGATCAGTCAATAAGTTAAACAAATAAAAAAATAATAATTAATAAATTAATAAATTGGTATTCCATTAAACTTAGGTAATTTTTATAGAATTGAACACAAAAACCAATATAAATGATATACGCGATATTTATTATTGTTCACAGTTCAAAAAACATAGTACACATATACATATTGATTTAAATAATTATTTTGGTTTTAATTGTATATATGTATAATAAATATAATTTTTTTAAATGATTAAAATGTTTTTAGCTATTACACTAGGGAAAATTAATTATTTAGATTTAGAGATTTTATTATACACCTTTAAACCGCTGCTACAAACCTTGAATGTTTATACCCATTCCACCCGACCACCACGAATCCCAATTGCCCCTCGAACACCCGCTTACCAAGCAAAATATGACGCTACGCGCGAAGTATAGTTTGGTACGCATAGAATATTATTCTTTGACCATTACGAAATACACAAAATATTTGAATATCACTGCACAATTATTTAGGTATTTATTTAATTTGTCTATCGGCATATCGGCTGGTATAACTACAACTTAATTTACGTGCTGTAAACGGGTCTATCCATTGTAATTTATAAACCTGCGACAAGAGGTATTTGATAACCCTAGTTACCTATTTGATAACAATATGCACAACCACGATAACGTGATAATTCGGTCGGTATAATTTAACAGTAGGTATATGGTAACCGTAAACACCAATCTGATAACAACGGGTATACCCATGATAACGGCTTTCCGTGAGCAGTGGAAAAATAATAGCTAGCCAAGGGGAGCCATAACATAGGTATAGTTCCCCTTTGATTAGAACCGCCTATCTCATCATACTGTCCTGGACCCACAAAAAAAGTTTACATACTTATATTTGGTACATGCGTATTATTTTTTTACCATCTCCGTTAAAGTTTTTAATTCAATGCCCTAAAAACTGTACGTTTATGGTGTAGTAGTACTTGGAAATCAAAACTGTCACCCACCAACACAGCCGCAGCTACCAACCTTGAATGTTTATACCTATGCCACCGACCAACACGAATCCCTTTTACCCCGAGAACCTCTGCAAAATATGACGCTACGCTCGTGGTGTGGATTGGGATGCACAGCGCATTGGTCGTTGACGATTTGGAAGTAAACAAAGTATTTGAATATCTTTGCTCAATCATTTAGGTATCTTTTTAATTTTTCTATCGGCATTTCGGCGGGTATAACTACAACTTAGTGTATGCGCTAATAACAGTAATCACAATTGTAATTTGTAAACCTTCGGCGTCCGGTACTCCAGCGACCCGCGGACCGGGTCACACTGTTTTTCGAATAGACTGCGCGTGCGGCGACAACCCACTGACGCTGAACAAAGCAATAGGAACGCGTACATTTTGTGTTCCGTTGCCGAGTCGACGACTTTACATTAGTCGCGGAGCGGGACAATACGACGTCCGGTACATTTAATAAAGATCGAGACTGTGCGAATAATCGTATGGTCTTTTGCCGATTGCTAAATATTCCGCCAGTAGGGTTCCGATCTCCGACTACCTTGAAGTCATCATCTGACTACGGATCGATTTTTTGACCGCTGCTTCGCACACAGAAACTGTCTTCGTTCAACGACGGTGAGTGTATCACTTTTACCGTATATTTCCCCTCCCTTACTAGCCGTTTACGAAACGATATAATAATACCGCTTTAATCATCCGCCTATTTGCTGTGTCGTTTTTATAGCTCGTTCTTTTCTACTCTGGCACTTTCCAGTTATTATATTATTTAGGTATTAAGTACTAGGTACCTGCAGCCGCAACGACGCACACAGAGGAGGGTTATGGTATGAACGTGTTTTACTTTCGGTTTTTCACATTTGATGAGAAAACTTCTGAAAAAATCGAAAAATAACCTCCATAAAGTACCACTCCAAGAATATTTTCTTTTAGAACCACGGTCTATATCGTTTACATCCGAGTAAGATTTTTGGCTAAAACAGTGTTTATGAAAAAAAATAAAATAATCATCTTTGTAAAACCAATACATTCTTCGCTCTTTTTGGAAAAAATATATTCTAGATAAGTAGAGANGGTGAATGTCCAAGATAGAATATTATTTTTATTTTTAATTCGAAAGCATATTATTGTGTTAATATTATGTCGATTGACAATTATTGTAAATTTAATAATTGTGGTAGGTATTGGTTGTTTCTCAAGTTTTCGTCTCCGTAAATTCAGCCATTAAGTGCCGCGTGTCATCGTGCGCATTGGTTTTGTTGAATCGAGAGGCAGGAGCCGGACGGTGTTTTGCTAATGAATGTAAGGGCGAGGAGAACAACTCCGAGGATTGAGTAAGGAGAGTGGATATGGTCAGCCTCTAGCTAATTATAGATAAAATCGTGCCCACGACGAATGACTGATATTAATTGTCTATAATGGCCGTAACTTCTTTGGGCATTACGGACAAATGAAAACATACAGGCGATGTTACATGTTATTTCGTAGTGCTTGACAAATTTTTGTTCGGGGAGGTGATATTTATTTAGACAAAAATTAAATTTTTCTTTGCATCCTCACATTTGAGAAAAAAAATAATCTCACATAATGAAATATATTAATGTCCGCCAAATCCGTACTATCCACTTTTCACCCATTAAATTTATTTAATTAATACACGGGCAAAACCAAAAATGAATAGGGGTAAAATAATAACAATAAAACTTGGTATTGGCAATGCCAGACTCGGCGCGGCTAGTAAAAGTTAAAAAAATTTAATATCTATAGCTTAAAACATTACTCCATAACTAAAAACAGATTTCACCAGGAAATAATAAATAGTTTTCTTAATTTTAATATTAAAGTAGCCCTTTACATATTTTTAGAAAAATAAAAACTCATGTAAATCTGAAATCAGTATATTAATGTGACATATCCATTTTAATTTATTATCCACAGTAATACTAATACTCTTTCACCTTTTGCAAAATATTACACTTACTATTAATTTTACAATATATAATTTTAATCGAAAGTTGTAATTTAAAAGAGAATCTTTAATCATAAATGTCATATACTTATGATTTAGGTATATTTTGCTTTAACACATTATTATCTAACCATAAGAACTTAAATTTTGGTTGGTGACTTTATGGTGTTCTTTTATAAATATAGTTAATTCATTGTCCTCTGTTGTCATTTTTGATATCTAATTGTTTTATTTATCATAACTTACAGATTTAATACACAATATGGACCAACAGGATGCACAGAACAGACAGATCAATTATGAAAAAAACATTGAATTAATTTCAGAATATCATATGGGCGATATTGTTTGGGCTAAGCTCGTGGGATGCCAATTTTGGCCGGCCATGGTCACTAAAGATCCTTTATGCAGTTTGTTTGTCAAAGGAAACGGTAATTACATAATATAGTGTTGTTGCAGATATGCTATATATTTTAATAGAATCTATAATTTGTTTTACATTTTACATTAATAAGTCCAATTAGTGGTTTGGTTTTCAAATCTGAATTTTGACAAAGAAATTGAAAACTAAATTGTTTAAGAGAACCTATACATACATAACAAATGTTGTTTTTTGTCTTCTAAACAGACATGATTTTAGCAGATTTAAAACCAACTTTGTGCTGTCAGTTTTTTCAGACATTATCATTCATATTTTTCTTTCGAGCTCTTTTTAATTATGATATTTCACACATGTATATCTTAACTAAAAATTTAAATTGATAAAAATAAAAAAACTAATGTACAAACTCAGATGATGTTATTCCAGCTGAGCTTGCTGGTACAATTCACTCTAAAATTGAAACTCATGAATTTTGACCTCGAATGACTTTTAAATCTTACATGATATTGTTGGGGACTTTTCATATTAATGAAGATATTTTACCCATTGTTTATGAAGTAGTTATAAAGTTTTATGCAACAATTCAGCTTAAAACCAATTAATTTTTCCCAACTGAAATTATAATTTGATTAGACCTTTAAAGGGATTGAAGAGAATCCATCAAATATACTTTCAGGGAAAAAAAAATTTTTTTAAAGGATACACAAGATAATATGTATTTACCTAAATTTTTTTTTTTTTATTGATTTTTAGGAAGAAACAGAACTTATGCTCTACATGTGCGATTTTGTAAATTTTATGGCCGAAGAAGTTGGGTGACGATTGTTGAAAAATATTGTTCTGAACAAGATCTTGTTTCAAAACACCCAGATTATATGGTAAGCCTTATTAAATATTTACTTTTCTCGTCATTCAGTAAATCAATCTGTAATTTACCTATGTAAGTTTAAGTAGGTCTATTTATATTTTTAACATTTTTTATGATCAGAGTGGAATTTCTGTCTTATAAGGTATTGTTATATTGATTATATAAATATAATTGACATATTTTATTAAAACCAACATCATTGTATCCCAAAATATTTAAATATTAATTTAATGAATGTTTATAGTATTCTTCAGAGAAAGACTTTAGTGAAATGGTTTTATGGCATGAGGCTGTGAAAGTAGCTGACCATTTGTCGACCCTCCATCCAAAGTAATAATATTCTATAGATTATGTTGTTTTTTTAGACCTTATACTACTAGGTATGTTTTTTGTACAATTGAAATGATTAAATCTAGAGGGAGCTTCTCTTGTTAGGCTTGTGATTGCTCAATAATACTTATTGTACAGATATTATTATAATACTTACCTACTTTCTTTAATCATTAATAACTTGTTATTGCAGTATTTCCCTAAGATATAAAATAATATAACTATACTTTATATTATTAATATGCCAACTCTTTTTATAAAATAATGTGTACTTTTTATTTCATAATATAAACATTACAAAATTATTTTATTCAGAAATTAATAATATCTTATTATATAATTAGCCTTAATATTACGTGTAGCA